AGGAATTTATATTATTTCTGCAGTGTATGACTTACATTGCATTGAAGATATACTTTTAAATTTGTTTTATTAATGCATTCAAATACTAGATTTATATATTATTTTTCACATTGCATTTATGTACATTTAAATTTTATTTCATGCATTCAAATACTAGATATTTATACTGTCTCTGCAGTGTATGGCTTACAGTGCATTGAAGATATATGTATGATTTATTTTATTTTATTTTATTTATTTTATTTTATTTCATACAATCAAATATTGTATATAGACTTTAATATTGTTTCTTACATTGCATTGAAAACACACATTTTTATTTTATTTAATGCATTCAAATACTAGACATTTATATTATTTCTGCAGTGTATGACTTACATTTTATTGAAGATATTTTTTTTTCATTTTATGCATTCAGATACCAGACATTTACAGTATTTCTTACATTGCATTGAAGATATACTTTGTCAATTTTATTTAATGCATTTAAATACTAGACTTTTATATTATCTCTTACATTGCATTGGAGATATAATTCTTTAATTGTATTTAATGCATTTAAATGTTAGACTTTTATATTATTTTTTTGCTATATTATTTTTTTTATCTATCATCTATCTATCTATCTATCTATCTATCAATACTAGACTTTTATTTCTTATATTTCATTAAAGATATACTTCAAGCTCTAAAATATTTTATTTTGTAGAAATTGCTTTTTGTGAAAACAAAGTATTTTTAAAATCACAAACTGGTGATTGATTGGTAATAAAAGTATAAACCAAGAAGAACGTTCAGTTATTAAATCATGGAATTAATTTTTTATTTTTATTTTATATAACTATTTTAATAGATTTTATTTAATTATTTGAATACATTGAAAGTTAGCAGATATGTCATTAATTGTCATTATGCTTAAATTAGACACAACAAAGTTGGAAATAAGCTAAAAAAGTAAAAATGAAGATTTAGTTAAAAAAAATCTTTTTTTAGCTAAAATCATATTTCTTTGCCATTTCTATTCACGAACAAACCAGGGTCCTCATGATGTTGCATAACCTGCATATACTGTAAAATGTGTGTGTGTGTGTGTGCTTGTGTTTTGCTTCAGAAAAATGGCACAGAGTGTTAATATTATTAGCTTGACATTTCTGTGAAATCTGTGTTTTGTAAGCTCTGTTTTGTGAGAAATCTTGTGTAATTGAGTGTCCTCAGGGAAGGGGATTCCGAGCGTCAGACTTTTAATAATTTTGATTGGCTTCTTTCATTCATGAACTGCAGCCGAACAATTATTGGCAGGAAATTGCAGCTGCTCACGACGCTAGAGTTGATTATCAGAGTGTGTGTGTAATCAAACACACACACACACAGTCCATTGAGCGAGGCCTGTCGACCCCCTCGGAGTGTGTAGGTGGTAGATGTGACATTTAAAACCAGTTCCACATCTCACCTGCTGTTTACAGGCCTCACAGTGACAAAACCGCCCCGTGTCACAGAACATGAGACCTTTACACAAGAACTGCAGCCTGACTCAGACGGATCTGATTCTGAGCAGCTATAGAGCTCGACTGCCTACACGCAGTAGAACAGAAGAATAAAGTCATGCTGCGGTGCTTTGAGGACTAGTTAGGCGACTCTGTCATCGTTTACTCATTCCACACCTGTATGTCGCTCTTTCTGCTGCGCCGCACAAAACATCTGACGCTCTTCACTCTCATAGCGTGAAGGTGTGCGCTGACACGATGCTGTCAGACTCATGAAAGCAGCACAAAAGCATCACAGATGATCGTTTATAGAACATTAGTGCACAAGTGGATTATTGTTGGTTTTGTGGAGAATGCCGGCCTCTGCTTACTGTAAACATTCATTGCACTGTAACTGTTCTTCAAAAATGGCTTTTTTTGCATGATGATGAAAGTCTCAGGGTTTTAAAGGGTTTTAAAATTATTGATTTAATTTGTTTCTTTGACAGATGTCATTTTTACTGAAGAACAAGGTTCTCACTGTATGAGATCATTTTGAAAGTGTAATTTCTGGACCTGGAAAAGTCATGAAAAGTGTAGAACATTCAGTTATTAGAATTACAAAATTTAGTTATTTATAAATATTTATTATTTATTTATAGTTATTTGTTTTATTATTTATTAAATTGCCACTCGTTTCTGTAAATAAAAAGTTAGAAAATAAGCAGATTTATCATTAATTAAATTAATTAAAACATTAATTAAAAATAACACAAGACAAGGTTAAAATCAAGATTTAGTAAGCTAAAATAGTTTTATTTTAATTTGTTTCCTTAACAGCTGTGATTTCTATGTGTGAGTATACACACACACACACACACACAAATAAGTAATAAAATAAGTTTTTCTACATTTTTCATTCCCTCAGTCTCGGTCACTCTCGACGTCACGTCGGATGACCCACGAATTGGGATCTCGCTTAGAGAGACCAATCCACTTCGAGTGTAAACTAACTAAGCCAATGCACATTGGCATGTGATTATTGCATCCAGCTGTCGCTGATCACAGCGTGAGTATAAGTAGGCAGCTGGTGCAGCGCATATTCAGCTTTTCGCTTCAGAGCCGAGCGGTCTCATCATTCTGCTCCTGTTCTTCTGCATCAGTGAAACTACGAGTTCGAGTACAAGCATGCTCTTAGGAAGCTCTCGTGCTGGTGGTACGGCGCTTCAGCGGCGGTGGTTCTTCCCCTGTCGAGTGGGTTGCACTCATCAGGCTGCACTACCCCCTGTTTGTGTTGCAGGCGGCCATCTCCCCTTTCCGCTTCAGCACACTAAAAGAGTAGTTATAAAAGAGCATTCACGGGTGGAACGTCTTTTTAAAGACACGTCAGATGCCCTTCCATCCGTGCGTTTCTGGATGCGGTCGTTACCTGGCGCCGGGTGATGGTCACGATCACTGCCTCTCGTCTCTGGGCATTAAGCAAGCTGAGGTGGCTTTCGTGGACGAGTCATGCTCCCATTGCGGGAAAATGACCATCTCGGAGTTGCAGACCAGACTTCGTTTCCTGCAAAGGGGCGGGGTGCCCGTGCCGCTGCCCAGATCTAGGGTTCCCCCTGGCGGCAGCCGGGGGGGGCGCTACCTCTGGTAGCGTCTGGACTGGTCTTACGCTGATGGTGAGGAATTCCCCTCCGAGGAACCAACCTCCGAGGGCTCCTCCTTCCGCCGGCACTTCACAGCCAGTGGAGCTGCCGAGAGAACAGGCTGGACCCTCCCGGGGGGTACCACTTGTATCTTTCGGTGCTCCCCCCGATGATCGGATGTCGATTGCTGCTTCGGAGGGTGAGCCAGACCTTTCTGGAGAGGATGATCCGGCGGCGCTGCCGCCATCTGGGCGGCCAGCGGTGCCGGATTCGGATCCGGAAATTATGGCTATGCTTTCCCGGGCCGCCAAGAACCACCTGGCGGGGGAAGCCGTCGCTCCCCTCCTGGACCTGTAGGTACTCGTCGGCCCTGACCGGCAGTGCTTATGCGGCCTGCGGAGAAGTTGCCTCTGCCCTACACACCATGGCGTTGTTGCAGGTTCATCAGGCCAAGGCACTGAAGGACCTGCACGAGGGTGTGAGACAGACAAGACACAATTCTTGAACGCCCCCGTGTCCCAGACCGGCCTGTTCGACGACGCAGTGGAGAACTTCGCCCAGCAGTTCTCCGCTGCCCAGAAGCAGCCATCTGAGGCCATCAGGCACATCCTGCCCCAGCGTGCAGCTGCTGCCTCCACCCGGCCGCCGGCGGCAGTGCCTCAGCCTGTTCGTCGCCGAGGGCGGCCCCCTGCCACCGCGCAGCATACGCAGCAGCCTCCAGCAAAGCAGCGCCGTGGAGCCGGTCGCAGGGCAGCCACCCTGCCCGTCCAGGCCCCCGCCAAACCTGGTGGCAAGAGCAAGAGGCCCTGAGACGGGCGACCCAGAGATGGAGGGACCTGTTCTTTGGGAGATGGTGAACGCACCACTCCCTCCCCCGGAGGAGAGCCGGGCGGAGAATCTTTTGTTTCTTTTTTCCCCGCCACTGACTTCACGGTCTGTGGTACCCAAAAACTTGACAAAAGAGCAATTTCCTCTATCTCTGGGTCCCCAGCGGGGACAGGGAGCTGTGGACGGGCCAGTCTCGGATCACACTCACCCTCCTCTCTCGCCAGTGAGCAGCTGTGGGCGGATCGAGAGTGCGGTCAAACGTACTACTCATGCACCCTCTGCCCGAACGCAGGTGAGTGTTGCACACACGCTGACCCCACTTCGGACCAGCAACGAGATGCCCGGGCCGGGTCCCTGCGTTCCCCCTCGCTGCGGGTACGTCGGTGGTTCCGTTGGTGCCACTTGTACGGTTTCTGGTCACCGGGTCCAAGTCACACCGGCCTGCCGCCAAACCTTCACCCCGTGGTCAGACCTAGCGTTTCTCCGGGCAGGAGTGCCCCTAGAACAGGTCTCCGGGCATACTGTGGTTCACATGGATGCCTCAACCACCGGCTGGGCGGCCACGTTTGACGGGCTTGCAGTGTCAGGGGTTTGGACGGGCCCCCAACTGCACACATATAGTCGTTCATTTTTTTATAAAAAAAAGAAAAATTTAAACCTTTTTTAACGTGTAAATTTTTTATCTAGTAGAAATTGCTATTGCTGTGAATTAAAAAAATATCATAAACTAGGGAAGTCATGGAAATTCATTTGTAGTCAAAAGTGTAAATCATGAACAACAGTCAGTCATTGGAATTATCAAATTAAATTATAATTGTTGTATTTAATTGTTTTAATATATTTCCATTTTTAGTTTCTGTAAATTAAAAGATTGAAAATGAGCAGCTTTTTCATTATGGCAGAAGCTTTGTCATGAATCAGAACATCTTCAAAAAGCTTTAGAAATGCTGGTTTGGAGCTTATAATAGAAGAGCTGCTGGTTTGAGTCAAACTACAAGTGGATTTGCAGAGATTGAGTGTGTTCTTCACAGCTCTTCTCTGAGTGCTGTGCTTCTTCTCCTCTCCTCAGGTCTTGAACCTCTTCTTGGCGTTGCTCCTGAGCTCCTTCTGCGCAGACAACCTCTCATCTCCGGACGAGGATGGCGAAATGAACAACCTGCAGATCGCCATCGCTCGCATCCAGCGCGGGATGCTGTGGCTCCGGCAGGCGCTCTGCGACTTCTTCAACGGGAACTTCAAGCGGCGCCGGCAGAAGGCCAAGGAGGCCAAAGCCATGCTGAAGCTGAAGAGACTGAGCCAGCAGACGCACTGGGCCGAGGGCAACGGGACAGCCGTCATCGAGCGCGCCTCGGAGGACGACAGCTACATGACCAACCCCACCCTCACCATCAGCGTCCCCATCGCGCCCGGAGAGTCCGACCTGGAGTTCCCCGAGGAAGAGGAGGAGGAGGAGGAGGAAGATGAGGCCAGCGAGAGCGAGGAGGAGGAGCGAGAGGAGACCAAACCGGTGAGTGAAAGAAACTGAATCATGCACACTTACCAGGGCTAATTACGTCTTATATATGGGTCAAAGACGTTAAGATGTCCGCATCAAAAGAAATTTACAAAAGTGATTTTATGTCCATAGAAAGCACGTTAAATTTTTTAACATTTATTTGTTTTGGGCCATTATGCTTTGGCACCAGTGTTGGTTAAATTACTCTAAAAACTTAATTAATTACAAGTGAAATATATGCATGCATGCGTGTGTATTTATTTATACATAATATTTATTTATACATAATATACATAATAAATATACACAGTACACACAAATATATTATGTAAACAAAATATTTTATTTTGGATGCGATTAATCACGATTAATCATTTGACAGCACTACTTACTACTAATTACTTTCTAAATCCTATATCAACCTCGACAAGTTAATGAATGATACAAGGATAGACATGAAACCTTCTTTTAATTCTTTCAAATAAATAATACATAACTACAGAAATTATTCTGGTCACACTTTAGATTAGCGTCCAATTCTCACTATTAACTAACTATTAACTATGAAATAACTATACTTTTGCCCCGATATACTCCTAATTACTGCTTATTAATATTTAGTAAAGTAGTTGTTGACAATTATGTTTAAGAATAGGATAGAAATTGGGTAGGATTAAGGATTTAGAATAAGGTCTTGCAGAATAAGACATTAATTAATATGTGCTTTTTAAATAATAATAAACAGGCAATATCCCAGTGATACACTGTATGTATATAACATACAATGTGAAATATAGCATGATTTGGGAGCAGTGTTATATTAGTGTTATTTATATACTGTTATTTATATTTATTAACGTTTATATTAATATTTTGAATTCAATACATTTTTATATTTTCATTTTCATTTTAGTATTCATATTTTATGCTTTTGTCACTTTAATTTTGTCAAGCTACACATTTATTTTTTATATTTTTAGTTTTCATGTCAATTTTATTTTAATTTATTAGTTTTTTATAGTAATTTGATGTGCTTTTGTCACTTACATTTTTTGTCAATTGAAACATTTTTTATGTATTTTCTGTTTCAATGTAAAAAAAATTGTACATTTGTAGTATTTTTATTTTTTAGTAATTTTATGTGCTTTTGTCACTTTAAGTTTTTAAAGTGAAACAGTTATTTTTATTTTTGTTTTTAAGTTTTAATATTACATTTATTTTATTTTTGTCACTTTCATTTTGTCAAGCTAAATAGTTATTTTTATATTTTCAGTTATAATGTTAATTTTATTTTATTTTTTTAGTAATTTTATGTGCTTTTGTCACTTTCATTTTGTCAAGCTAAGCAGTTTTTATATTTTCACTTTCACTTTCCTTTATTTTAATCTTTAGTATTCTTGTTTTTAGTCATTTTTAGCTAATTTTCGCTTTAATTTTTGTCAAGCTACAGTAAACAGTTTTTATATTTTCACTTTTCATGTTTATTTTATTCTAGTATATAAAGTACACTTTAATCTTGTCAAGCTGAACAGTTTTTTATATTTACCATTTTATTTATTTATTT